TAACGATTAGGGTTTTCTCTTAACTTCTTTTAAAGATCTCTTCTCTGATTTTTGGTGTTGTTTCGTGATTTTGCTATGTTCAAACAACTGTTTATGTTTTTCTTCTATTTGATTCAGCATATTGAAAACCCCAGGTCTTTTGGGTCTTATCCGAGTTCTGAAACTGCTTGTTTGTTTGTATACTTGTTCGATTAAGCTCTTTGTTTCTGATTCTCTTTTCTTTGTGTGACTTATCTGATTCTGAGTTCTTAAACTTGACTGTTGTTAAAACCCTAATTTCTTAAAAAGGTTTTCCTCACTTGTTACTATGAGACCTTTACTTGTTTTTGATTTCTCTTTACCTGTTACTATGTTCTTTTTCATTGTTGATTCTATGTGACTACTTGATCTACTTGACTACTGTGCTTCGAATATTTTCTTGCTACTGAACCCTAACTTACCCCTACTGCTACTGTATGTTTGTGTTGCTTCTTTTTGTCAACATGTTTAACTCGGTATGCTTGTTCATCCTTTACTATTTATATGGTAAAGTGCAGAATCATGTTCCTTTCTTAATTAATCTTGATTTCCTCAATCTTCCGACTAATTGAAAAAGGTTTTCTTACGAGCCCTAATTTTTACTCATCTGTTTAAAATTAATTGATTCTTTTCCTTTACTGTGATGTCTGATCTTGCTGAATCCTTTCCCAAAACTAAGCATGTTCTATACTTAGACTTGATTATTTACTTCATGCCTTTACTGCCCCTTATATGGCAATAATCAATATGTTCCCAAACTGATTTCTTTCCCTAATTAAACCTGTTACTACCCGTTAAACAGTAATTCCTTAATTAAAGGGAATCACTTGTGTTAATTGATTCTGACTTGTGATTGTTTCCATGTTTGTGTTAAGACTTTACTTATTACCTTATTCTTTACTCGTTTTCAAAACTATAAATACTCACCCCCTTTTTCTTTCAAAGACACGAACAATTTGAGTTCAAGAACACACACTTACACTCAAAACTTTCTCTCTTCTCTCTACTACTACTTGTGCTACTGCTTTGTCTAGTTGGCTGAAAGCCAAGGCTAGACTGTGAAATTTTGCCTACTTTTTCTTTCTACACTTTGCTTCTCTACTGGTATGTCCTAGTTAATTTTCAAGCATCAACAACAACATGTTTCTTTAATTGTTCCAACTTCTCTCATTCTTGTCTACTTCTGCTTATGTTTCTGCAGTCAAGTTACATTACTAGCATGCTGAAATATGTTCCCTTCCCCTTTTAAATTAATGCTCTCCTATGTGTATGAATCCCAAACCCCCCATATCCCCTCAATGTGTTTGTGTTCCTTTGGTTGGTTTGTGGCCATGTCAGCATCACCTATTGCGGTGCATGACCAAACTAGACCCCTGCTGGGTCATGTGCTTACAAACAATGTATTCCCAAAACCCCTTGACCCCTTCGTGTGACTATTAATTTGTGTTTTGTTCATCACCCCAATTGATTTTAAACACTTCTGCTACTGATTACCTTCAAAATATGGACTTACCAGTCCAGTTTTAAACAAACTCTTTTTTTTAAACTGTGTGTTCTACACTTCCACTATATTCTTAGATCCTAGGTTTTGCCCCTCTTGTGTGAGTCTTGCCTTGGGACCCTTGAGCTCCCTCTGAACTTGGACACATAAGGGTTGACCCTTCCACACTGCACTCATTTTTGTCTGGTTATGCAAACATGGGTGTAAGTACTACCTGGGGTCCCTTGAGGCCCTTAGGGAACTTTGACACGTCCAGGTCTGAGAAAGGCTTTGAAACAACATTGACATTTGAGGTAGTTTATTTCATAACTCAGAGAGGAAGTCAAGAATCAAGCTTCATATGGCTGTAACTTCTTATTTTCGCTCTTTTCTGATGTAATTCGGTCATTTTTTGGTTTGTGATAATTTGTAACAAATATTGGGGTTGGCTAGTGAAAAGGAATGGGGTGATTATGCATGTTTTAGCTATTAGAAGGGTAGATAACATGCCTATAGGATCTGTTTCATAAATTCTGCATGTTTTACTTCCATACTTAGACACCATGCCTATAAGATCTAAATGGCTATAATCAAACATCATGCCTACAAGGTTCAAATCAGTTTTGAAATTAGATGTCATGCCTATAAGATTAAAATCAATATTTTTTTATAGAAATCATGCCTATAGGAATTTCGCTGGGATCAAATAAATCCTGCCTGGTTCGCTGCATGTTCAATTAGATACCGTGCCTATAGGACCAAAGCCTTTAATACTTAAATACCATATATGTAGGAATTAAAATCAGTTATGATAGAGATCGAATGCAGAATTGGATATTATACTATATGTGAATCCTTCTCTTTTTTGCTTAACTCTAGATTGAGTTCTTTTATCGGGTAAACCGATAACCGAACCGATAATGATCGATAATCGGATAACCGATAACAAATATCTTATCGGTTTGGTTATCGCTACCGAACCGGCTGATGCCCGCCCCTAATATAATATGTTAAACGGGAAAAACATGTGGACCACCATAATAGCAGATATTTCTCCGACCTGGATATTATTTTTTCATATGAATATATTGATTTTTTTCAACAGAAGAGGATATGAATATTAATTCTAGACGATGAAGAAGAAGAAGCTCTGTGTAACAGAGAGAAGGTGGGGAGATATGTGTGGTTTGGCTTGTTCATGGCTTTGTGGAGCCTATTCCTATCCTTCTGGATTCTTCAAATTCCCATCTTCCAACACTACCACGTGCTCCTCTGTTCCTGCCTTTATCATACATTGCAGTAATTCTCAATTTATACCTCAAGTGCCGAGCCCGGGGTCCTCGCAAAATGACCTCAAATTTGTTCTTCATGATGCTCTGGACGCGTTTGGTGTCAATACAACCCATGCCCGTATAGCAAGAGAAGGTTTCTGCTCTCAAATTCGAAAACTATCGGATATAGAGAGAGGAACAAGTATTTGCATAAACAGAGGGGTTGATTTAGGGCAAGCCACTCTTTATATAGCGGCGGAAGATGATTCCCTCATCTCACACTCCTCTGTCCCACTCCCTGTCGCTGATTTCCTTGAAAGATTGGATCATCTTTCTATGGAATACTGCTCGCATTATAGCTCTTCGTTTAAATCTTCTCCAGAACACTTCATTCACTGTTTAGAAACGTATTTGTACGTTAATAAGGTAATTTTGAAGTATTTGATTTTATCATGTTTCTTCATTGCTATATCTGTTTCGAAATGAATTCTTACTCAATGATCATTTATATACTGCTTGAATGCCTTATAGTGTATTTTAGATATGAAGAAATAAGCTTACATACTCGATGAGCCTTAAAAAGGTTGAAACTTAAAGTGTTAATAGGTTAATTTAGGGGATTTTAAGAACAGGAGAATGAGATGTGTTATTGCATCATTAGTTCAAGTGGGAGATTAATAGATATTTTTAGCCTAAGGAGCATTCTTACCAATAAAAAAAAGCATTCTTTTCGTAGGATGTATCGTTGTTAAATTCCTGACTGATGTGTGGTTCTCATTGTTGGTTGATGTCATGCAATTGAAAGCTTTTTCTCAATCGCGTGGAAAGTTTCTAATTCAAAATTGTGCACCCTATTGCCATGAATGGCCATAATTACTGAGTTAAGCTACAATAGTGATTTGAGAGCCGATACGTTGCTTGATATTTCTTTAAGAGAGGTGAGGGAGTAAAAAGTTAGTTGGAGTTCCAAGCAATTTTCAATTTAAATTGTTATAAATTGTGATCTTTGGCCTTGAGGCTTAGCTGGTTGAATTCGATACTTAGGTTCCCTTTTCACCCTTTCCCATTATTACATAAAGCTGGAGAGGTGGATCATTTGTGAAACACTTAAAAAAGATGGCTTTCCTAGGGAATTACCTTCTCTGCCTACCCTTTGCTTTCAGTCAGTGGGAAGTGAACATACCCCATTACTAGAAGACGTACATAGTGAAATAAATACAGCTTGGCAGAGGGAAAGAATGGAATTATCATGAAGAATTGGAAAATTTTGATTTTTTTTCATTTTACTTGAAAAAGGGCATGTAGATGAATCCTACAGGGATCAGATACACAACCTGTTCCACCATGCATCTAAATACAACTGCAAAATGGTTACACGCTGAAGAAGTTCCATTTTCATGACTGAGGCTGACAGGTATTATTGGATCTGATTGCAGCACAATATTTCATGAGGGGAACATGTATTTGATGGCATATTTAATTGTGTTAATGCGAAACTCTTGAGATATTAGTTTAATTATATTTGTAACCATAGTTAAGTGAGTTAGTTATTGTAACCATAGTTAGGTGAGTTAGTTAATTAGCTCAGTTAGTTAGCTTCTTGTTAATACTTTGTTAGTTAGTGCACATGTATATACATATACTTTGTAACCATACTTTTTCAGTTAATCAGAAATCATTTTTCTGCTCCCACTTTCTCTTATTCTCTCTTCTCTTCGAGAAACTTCTAGGGCTTCACCATTGGAGCTCAAACTTGAGCTCCGCCATTGTTGTTCATCTCCCAAGCTTTACATGGTATCAGAGCGAGGTGTTCTATTCGCTAATCTTTTCTCAATTTTCTCTGAGTTCTGAAGACACAATCATCGTCTTCATTTTGCCCCAATTTTCCAGATCCGACATTCTCTCCTCCTTTCTTCATTTTTGACAAGTTAACACGGTTTCTCATGGAGATCCTTGATCCAAACAATGGAACTGAAGTTGAGCCGGACAGTCCTACTCCCGTCGTCGGCGTCAATCATGGAGTCAATTTGAGTTGCCCTTTCTACATGCATCTGTTGGATAATCCAGGTGCAATGTTGGTCACAACTCCGTTCAGCGGGATTGGCTACTGATCCTGGAGGAGAAGTGTTCTTAGGGCTTTATCCAAAAATAAGATAGGATTTATTACTGGAGAATATAAGCGACCAGATCTAGATTCCCCACAATTTCGTCAATGGGAGAGGTGCGATGATATGGTAACCTCTTGGATTGTCAATTCTCTATGCAAAGATATTGTTGACAGTGTCGAATATGCTAGTAATGCCTTCGAGTTGTGGAGAGAGTTAGAGGATAGGTACGATCAGACGAATGGTACCAAATTGTACCAAATCCAAAAGGAAGTTAACGATTTGTCTCAAGGTGTGCTTGATATTAATGGATATTATACGAAAATGAAGAAACTTTGGGAGGAATTGAACATGATAAGTGCCAAATCGCAGTGCACTTGCCAATGTACATATGGAGCTAAGGAAAATATGCACAAATCTGAGCAAGACAGAAGGCTCATCCAATTCCTTATGGGATTGAACGAGGTATACACCAGCATACTTATGATGAATCCCTTACCATCCATGGCACAAGCCTTTTCTCTCCTCATTCAGGAGGAAAAACAAAGAGAAGTGAAACCGCAAAGCCAACTTATGATGGAATCTGTCTCTCTAAATGTCAATGTTCCTTCACATAGCAGCCTGAACAGGGCACCTATGCATAATAATAATTTCAGGACAAACTACTCTCCAAATAACCACTCCTCTACTAGTAGACCTCGTCCCTTTTGTGATTACTGCAAGCGTGCTGGTCACACCAAAGACAAATGCTTCAAGCTCCATGGTTATCCTCAAGATTTCAATCACAATCCTAAGTATCAAAAGGTCAAGAGAACTGCAGCAAATGTGCATTGGACTCCAATTGACAATTTTCATGTGAATGGTGAGGAAATGCAGCCCCAAAGCAACCACTCTAATGTCAGTCTTACCAAAGAACAATATGGCCAATTGGTGACTCTGCTTCAGCATTTTCAGACTAGCTCTGGTGGAGATAACCCAGAAAACAATACTATTGGTGGAAATGCGAATTTTGCAGGTATTTTCGCTTGTTCTGTATCTGTTCTCTCAGTTGACTTTGGACTATTGTCATGTAAATGCTTTAAATCAAGAGCTGATATTTAGATTCTAGACTCAGGGGCTTCTAACCATATGACCTTCAACAAATCCTTACTTACTCACATTAAAACCTTAGTGTACCCTATGTTGATCACTTTACCAAATGGCTATAGAGTTAAGGTCACTGAAATTGGAACAGTTACACTTTCATCAAATATTATATTGCATAGAGTTCAATATGTCCCTTCTTTTAAATACAACCTTATTTCAACACATTCTTTAGCATCTCAGTTTAAAGGTTTAGTAGCTTTCTCTGACTTTCTATGTTTACTGCAGGCCCCTTCAACGAAGAGGCCTCTGGAGATTGGTAAGGTCAAGGATGGCTTGTACCTCCTGTGTTCAAGTTGTCTGAAGAACTCCTGCTCAAAGAACTCTTGCTCAATTTCATCTGTCCCTTTGCTTCTTCCAGATTCTGTTTTGTCTAAAACCTTTGATGTAAATAGCTTGCACTGTCAACATTCTGATTCACCTGTAAATGTTTCCACCTGCAATTCACACTCAATTGTAAATAGTTCCATTAATAATAAAACTCAGTGCATTTCATCACATTCTTTCTTGTCTAATATGGATCAAATTGACTTACTGTGGCATTTTAGATTGGGACATGTCCCTTTTGTCAAAATGAGAGAGATATACTCCATTCCTGTTAAATTCTCAACTAAGCAACCCTTTCTCTGCACCATTTGTCCCATGGCCAGGCAACCTAGACTAGTTTTCCCTCACAGTACCAGTGCCACAACCTCTCTTTTTGAACTTATTCATGTGGACCTCTGGGGACCCTACAGTGTGGCCACTCATGACAACTATAAATACTTTCTCACCCTAGTGGATGACTATAGTAGAGCCACCTAAACTCATCTCTTAACCAATAAGAGCAATACATTGCAAGTTATCAAAGGGTTCATATCACTAGTTGAAACTCACTTCAAAGCAAATATAAGGCACATTAGGTCAGACAATGGTTCAGAATTTCTAAATGCAGAAACCTCATCTTTCTTTCAGTCAAAAGGGATTATTCATCAAAGAACATGTCCCTACACTCCTCAACAAAATGGGGTCGTGGAAAGAAAACATAGGTACCTTTTGGAAACTGTCAGGACACTCCTTTTCCAGTCCAAATTACCCTTGGGGTGAGTGTATCCTGGCTGCCACTCATATTATCAATAGACTCCCCACTACTTACCTGAAAAATAAGTGCCCAATTGAAGTCCTCTATAACAAAAAGCCAACCTACTCTCACCTCAGAAGCTTTGGTTGTCTATGTTTCCCTACTATACCCAAGATTCATAGAAACAAATTTGAGCCTAGAACCACTCCCCATGTTTTTGTGGGATACCCTTATGAGACAAAAGGGTACAAAGTTCTCAATTTGGCCACTAAGAAGATTCATATTTCCAGGGATGTGACTTTTCATGAGCATATTTTCCCCTTTGCTATTGTGTCTGATTCCTCTCCTCAATTTCCTCCAGTCCTTCAGGCTCACTTCCTCCATTAGAATGTTCAGCGCTTCTGTTAATATCTACACAATGACACACTTATAAAGAGTAAGGGTTACTTGGTTGTTGACTCGTTGTAGATTGACCTCAAAGTGTCAATGTAGCTAGGTTTACTACTTCAGTACTTTTAGATAATGTAATGGTTCGAGTCTCTTCTTTTAAAGTCAACCAAGGGGATCATAGTTGTATAACCTACTATATAATTTGATGATTGTATGATTGTATCCGAAGAAAAATACCTGAAAATCCTTCACCCAAGGGTGTGGCGTAGCGATCAATGAAGTGGGTGTAAATCTTGGAGATCAGGGTTTAAATCCCAGCAGAGACAAAAAATATAAGGTGACTTCTTCCTATTTGCCTAAGCCAGGTGGACAGAGTTACCCGGTACATATGCTGGTTGGGTAGTTGGACACGGTGGAATAGGCAAAGTGTACACAAGTTTGCCTAGACATCACCGTTGGAAGAAAGAAAGAAAAAAAGATGGAGTGAGTCACTTATAGATGATGTCGGTATCAAAGCACCTCGGCATGACAATCATGCCATTAGTATTGACAAAATATAGTACTTGCTGTGTGCGGATACAAGGTCATCTATGTTTTTGTTGATGTTAAAATCTTATACTTTTTTTGTTTCCTGCTTAATGTGCAGAGATCTAAAGTTGCAGCCTTCATTTGCTGAGATAATGGCTGCTTTGAAACCACTGCAAAAGCCTATAACCAGTTCACAAGTACCAAAACCACTGGGGAACAGAGGTCAAGAAAAGGATCGGTCATAAAGAAACTTCGATAATCCAGCAGCACAACAGGTTTAGGACAGAAGGGAAACGGAATTTTTATATTTATTGGAAATGAAGACAGGTTCATATTTGCTCAACCAGAAATTGAAGGAAGCCAAAGGATCTGTCAACAAGACATACTTCATACTGAGTCAATTGTGATTCTTTTTTCTTCTTCTTTTGTTTTCTGGCAGTTGTCAACCCACAGTCCCGAAAGTTGTGTATTTTCTCTCATGTATATTCATTTTTGGGATCTCTTTGTAATTACAGAGTGATTGAGAATATTTTCCAAACTCTTCATACTGAAGCCGAAAGAAAAGCAATGAAATTGAGATGCTTGATTATCCAGTGGCAGAAGCAGAGAGTTACCATGTTCTTTTTTTTAATTTAAAGATTTAGTTAATCATCTACCCTGTTGATGAAGCTTTTAGTTGAAAGTGCAGGCATGATTTGGGCACAAAAGCCGGAGAACCGTGACCCCTAAACCTTAAACCATGAATCTTAAAGCATGCCGTCTAGTGGTCAATATACTAGTGAAAATTATGGAAAACAAGGTTCACATTCTAGTAGAACGTTCAATGTCTTTTTCTATCTATCTAAGCTTTGATGTTGAAGAGATAATAGGTATTGGTGGAATAGTCAAACTGTACATAAGTTGGCTCGGGCACCATTGTTTTATAAGAAAAAAGGGAGGATTGGCTCGGACACCACTATTTTGAAAGTCTAAAAAAAAAGGTAAAGATAAGGTAGGGACCATTTACAACTGAATGCAGTTGAGTTACTACAAATATCTGCAGCTCTCTCATATGCTCATATCATATCCAAAAAAATGGCAACCTTGTTTGGATCACCACCATTTGTGTCTCACCCAATTACCAGAACTAACTTGTCTTCATCCTCACAAACTCCTCCTCCTTCTCAGCCACCAAATCAACCTCCACAACCACAAACTCCACCACCATCTCAAAATCTAAGTGCAACTTCTTCAGAACCTCTATCACCTGCCACTGCAGCTAATGTGCAGCCACAAAAGCCTAGTAGTAAACCTGCCCGCCTATCGACAACTGCAGAATCTACTGATTGGATTGCCTCTTCCTTAACAAGGAGATTTGGCCTTGGTGTTGGACTTGCTTGGGCTGGTTTTCTTGCTTTTGGTGTTGTTTCTGAGCAAATCAAGACTCGCCTTGAAGTGTCTCAACAAGAAACAAATACAAGGTAAAATTTTCATCATATGTAATTCCGCATTTTATTTGTTTCATATGCTTTCTTCTCTATATAATCATCCATATCATAATCTAAAAATATTAACTCTTCTATTATCTAATCGTCAGGGTTGTCGAGAAAGAAGAAGAAGTGGTCTTGCCCAATGGGATAAGGTACTGAGCCTTCTATATGTTGACATGAGGTTCTTCTTTTCTCATCATACAATATACATATCATACTTGAGTTAATTTCACTTTATTCACATCATAGTAAAGTCGCAAAACTAATTTGTTACAGTAAAATAATTAAACTTTACCCACTGTAACTTATAACTACAAAATCACAAAAATATCTTTTAGCATATAAGCGTAACTGAATTTTACGCACTATAATAGTAAAGTAACTAAACTTTACTCACTATAACAACATAATTTACCCATCAAGGTGACTTTATTGCAATAGTGAGTATATTTTAGTTATGTTAATGTGATAATAAAAAATACAGAAAAGGGCTAAACATATCCCTGTGCTATCAGAAAAGATTTAACCGCATCCCTCGTTATACTTTGAGTCCAAATATATCCCCGTCGTTATAATATTAGTTCAAATATACCCTGTTTTCGTTAAGTTCCAGCGATCCTGCGTGGCATTGAAATTTGGTATGGTGAATGCCACATGGCTAGCCTCCTCAGCGCCACATAGGATTAAGGTGGCACTGAAATTTGATGAGGGACATTGAGTAACATGCTATGTGGCATCCACCTTGTCAAATATCAGTGTCGCGTGGGATTGGATGTCCACCTTAGACAAACTTAACAGAAGAAGGATATATTTGAACCAATAGTATTATGGAAGAATATATTTAAATTTTTTCTCTTAGTACAAAAATATATTGGGCCCTTTGCCTTAAAAAATAATTTTATGACTTTACTACTATAGTATGTGAAATTAACCTGATACTTACTCTTAACGGTAGTTCTAATTGCATTTCAAAATACATGAATCATCTCAAACAGGTATTATGAACTGAAAATCGGCGGCGGCGCAACTCCACGGCCAGGAGATTTAGTAGTGATAGATGTGAAGGGAAGTGTAGAAGGCAGTGGAAAAGTATTTGTGGATACATTTGGTAAGAAGAAGAAGCCACTGGCATTAGTAATGGGATCAAGACCTTATAGTATGGGAATATGTGAAGGTATAGAATATGTTTTAAAAAGTATGAAAGCTGGTGGAAAAAGAAGAGTGATTATTCCTCCTAATTTGGGATTTGGTGAAGAAGGAGCAGATTTAGGAACAAGATTGCAAATTCCTCCATCTGCTACTCTTGAGTATATTATTGAGGTTGACAAGGTTTCTATTGCACCTGCTTAGTTAATTTCCTTTTCTAATTGGACAGTGGAAAGCAAATTACGTATACTCAAATTCAATGGAGCAAACACTCGTGTCTATCTTTTCATTATTTGGACTTTTAAATAAGTACGTGTGGTCTAAAGTCAAAGTTTAATATAACGTCTAAATCTTTACAAGAAAGTTATAATATATATTTTTATTAAAAATCTAATTTTCTAATTTTTTGAGATGTAAAGTCCTATTTTTTCCTTTTATATGAAAAATTCTACTTTTGTATTGAAATATCATTTTTTAAATACCTATATATCTATATTATATAATTATTTCTAAAAAATGGAGGCTTCAAAATTTGGGGCATAAGGCACAAGTCTTACAGGTGATATTCAACATGCAACCAATTGAGATGTGAACTTTTGATCCATTTACTAATAAATTTTACGAAGTTAACATAATAGTAAAATTTGAACTATTCAATTATCCATGCGCTATGCTAGGTTTGCAGTGTTACTCAATTCTTTCTAAAAATAATCAAAAGTTAAGATATTACCTACATAAAGGGATACGAAACACATATCTATATCTATATTTATATTATATTAAAAGGAGAGTAGTATGCATTATGGTTAAGCCAAGTGGCAAGCTAAAATGAAGCCACTTGGCAATTTTAGGACAACATTAATAATTAGAAATTATATATAGAAACATAATTAATGGAGGTAGTTTAATGAATCTTATACATAATCTAAATAGATCTAGACAAATCTAATATATATATATATATATATATTTAAATTTATATGTATATTTGTATCAATATCTGTATTTATATCTATATATTGATCCACTCATAGATTTTCTTCTATGTTAGCTAGAAATATCTATATTATATTAAAAGGAGAGTAGTATGCATTGTGGTTAAGCCAAGTGGCAAGTTAAAATGAAGTCACTTGGCAATTTTAGGACAACATTAATAATTAAAATTTATATATAGAAACATAATTAATGGAGGTAGTTTAATGAATCTTATACATAATCTAAATAGATCTAGACAAATCTAATATATATATCTATATTTAAATTTATATANATAAAGTATACAAATTAATTATAAGGTAAGAAAAAAAATAATTAGCAAAAGATATTTTAATAACAAGAAAAATAAATTCATATTAATATTGATAAATCGTGTAAATGAATATTTTATAGGTAAATATTACTACAACATTTAGATATAATGTGTTCAAACAATTAAGAAAATATTATTCTATGATTAATATTTGAATTGAGTTTAGTTAGTTTAAGTTTGAAAGCAAACCATAATCTTTTGAAAATATGGTCCAATTAAGAAAATAGAATGATAAAAATTATTTGAATTTGAGATGAGAAAGTATTTAAATTTTTATCTACATTATATTAGAATGAGTGTGGTAAAAATAGATACTAAATTCAAACAGGCTAATAAAAATTCACATGACAATGTAATAATATTAGGTATTGAATAATATAAAATCAATAATAAAGAATAAATATTAAAAAACTAAGATTTTTTATCATAAGAAAAAGTGTAAAACTTATTTAAATTTGAGATGAGAAAGTTTTTTATATTATGATAAGAAAAGTCATAATATAAGTCCATATAACTCAAGTCTAATATAGTAAAATCAAAAACTAAAAATATTGAACAATAAAAATAAATTAGAGATAATATAAGTACATTTATAAATCATAAGTTTAGAAAATAAAATAAAGTAAATATACAATACTTAAAAATATTATTAAATTTTAAATAATTTAAAATTTTCGAGCAATATTTTTAAAACAAAATAAATATTTATTTTATAATTAAAAAATTATATATTTATCTTATATTATTAAAGAAAAGTAAATGAGAATGATATTAAATAAAGTTACGAGTTAATGAAAAGCCACATAAAACGTAATAAGAATATATATTAGATTAAAAAAATAGGAAAATTATGTTAACTTATTAGAAATGAAAAGAAAAGACTATTTGAATTTGAGATTAGAAAGTTCTTAAAACTATGATATGTGCTCAAATTATGAATAATACCACGAAATTGAAGTCTTATTTATGAAAAATAAAACAATAATAAAAAATAAAATTTTAAATTATAAAATAAATTTCTAATATAGGTAATTTTATAAAAATTAAATTTGTATTTTAAAACTAAAAAAAAATTATGTAAAGAAGTAAAATGACAATGAAAATATTACTACAACATTTAGTTATAATATGTTCAAACAATTAAGAAAATATTTTTCTATGATTAATATCTGAATCGAGTGCAGTTAGTTTGAGTTTGAATGCATAGCATAATTATTTGAAAATGCGGTCCAGTTTAGAAAATAAAATGATAAGAATTATTTGAGTTTGAGATGAGATTTCTTCTGAAAATATTACGTAAAGGATTAAAATGAAAGTAAAA